ACCATTGCTTATGCACGCTTGATAACTATACATACCGATAGGTTAAAAATATCAGTTAGAGATGGGCATCTGTGATGGCACAGCTAAACAATGATTAGAGTGGGACTCATCTACTCAGTAACTAATAAGTTATTAGTAATAACACTGTAGGAGGCTAAACGCTCGGACACGGTAAACTTAATTTTTGGTCGTTGATTACAAATCCATGCGTCAGGTCAAAATTCAAAGATATTGGAAACACCCTGTATAAATTTAAAAAATAGTATATTACACTACAAGGGCAGAAAGTGTGAGATTCCTGCACTGCGCGCCATGATGCCCGAGGCGAAGCCGAGGGCATCATGGCGCGCAGTTCAGGACTCTCACACTTTCTGCCCGTGTAGTGTATACTATTTTTCTTACTACCCTGCAGAAAATACAGGAAAAAATTAAATGTATATAAAAAAATTTGTGTCAAAATTAAAATCTGACGTTTAATTTAATTCTGACGTTTACATTCAAAATCAATCAAACTGTAGCGTTGTCATGGTAATTCAGCGGTGCCAATACAGTAAAAATAAAAGGTTGTATTTTAATTAACAAATTACTACTTTATAACAAATAAAAGTACCATTAAACACTTAAAACAACATAAAAAGTAAAAAAGTAAAAACATAAATTGTTTATTTGTTGTTATAATTGCAAAATTATGGTTTAAAACTGTCATATTTTTGTGTTTCTCATGTTGGCAGTACGAAATTTAAATGTTAAGCACGCGACTAAAAAATTTTTACTCCCGCTATTAGAGTGTGCACAGAACATAAGAGAATTAAAAGCGCTGTAGTGAAAAGTGGCAACAGGCATTGTTTGATTTTGAAATCTAGCAGGCTTGGAAATCCGAGGTGCCAGTAAGCCATTGGTGGAAATATCCACACGATTTCTGCGGCGCGAATTTTGAATTTTTATTTAAAATATGGAATTATAACCAAAATTGTTCTTTAAAAATCAAAAAATATAAAATTTCAATAATTTTCGGTTATTTTCCACTAATTAAGTGGAAAAACACACATTTTTGTTTTTTTTATAAATATATTAAACAAAATATACACTTAATTCAATTTTAAATTAAATTATAACCAACAAATAATATTTAAATGAGGAGAAATTCAAAGTTAATTATTCTATAACTTTTAGTGAAATTTAAAAAAAGGTTTATCAAACATGTATAATAATTTATAATTATTTGGGTATAATTTATCAAAAAGTATGACATTAATTTGATAATTACCCTCTTATATATGCCTACAAGACAATTATCGCTTGATTACAGCGATAATTTTCAGAAATTTTAATTTTGTGTCACATAATAACAATTTTTATAGGTTTTTTAAGATTTCTTAATAAAAATGCAAAGGTTTATAAACAAATTAACTCTAAAACATATTACAAACCATTAAAATATTTGATAAATTCTTGATAAACAATAGTTCAATACTTATTGGTCCTTATTAGAAAACAAACCTTTTAAAACAGTTCGAGTATATTATATAATTAAAATTATAACTATAAATTATAATTATTACTTTAAATTTGAATATGTAATTCATAAAAATAAATAATTTTGTAATACATACTGACTTATTGTATACCTATAGGTATTTTCAGATTTCTTAATGTAGTATTAAATTTCTTTATTGGAATAAACCAAAAGGCTAATGCCTAAAATGTTTAATGCAATAATTAGACTTATTACAAACCATACTCTTATAATTTTTAGGAATTATGATTATAATTTGTTTTTAAAATAAGCACAATACTGTAGTTTTGTAAAATATAGAATTTTTGGCAAAAAGGAATTCCTACTTATCCAAAAATTAAATTACATTCTTTGGAATATTTAATTTTTAGTAAAATAGGTTTAATTTAAATTAATAATCAATAGAACCACTTAAATCTCAATGTTAAAAATATTGTAATTATGTATTTGGCAAAATTAAAATCTTTATGTATGATTTAACTTTCTGGTCAATATTAAGTATTAATTGTCTTTTTTCTTGTTCATGATTCATGGATTGAACCTGCGTCTTTTTCTTGATTCAATGAAGAATATTCAACTGCAATTAATATTTTCTATGTTCTTTTGCAAAGAAGTTTGATAAATTCAAGTCCTGTCTGCTTCTTCCATTAACACAAACCCAAACCTGAAATCAATATCAATTTTAAAATCAATTTAAATTGTAAAACAATTGATATTACCTAATAATGTTTAAAATTATATAAAAATAATGCATCAATATTTATGCTACTTATTTATGCTAAAGGTAATTGTTTTACCAGCATAAAAATAATTGAATGGTTTATTGTAAAAACAAGCCAAGTAACTAACTAAATATGATTTTGTTTATTTTTTATTTTAAAAATCTTATAAAAACTAATAATGTTGAACTTGTGCTGTTTTAACATGAAAATATCCTTTTTTAATATCATAATGTGTATCTTGCTAAATAAAATATTTCTGTCTCAAAATAATAATTTAAAGCAGAAGTGTATGTAATATAAAAATGTCAGATTGCTTGTTTTAACAATAAACAATTTAATTATATTTGGAGTAAATACTAAAAGTGTACTTTCTTTAATGGTCAGGCTTTTACTTTTTTATATTTGGGTTGTAACTATGGATGTGTGAATATTGAATTCAAGAATTATTTGAATAGTTTGAATGGTTCAATTAGAAAATTAAAATTTTCCAATAGTAATTGAAAAAATGGAACATCAGAATTGTAATTTAAAATTTATTATTATCAAAACTATTCAAATAATTCAAACTATTTATGTAGTTTAAATATTTAATTTTAAGTTTGAATTAAATATTACTACATAATTTATTTGGTAAAAATATTCACACACCACCAATTGTAACTTAAAATGTATTCTAAATAAAAAAAAAATATATCTACCTATTATTAAAAAAATTTGGTCAAATATTTCTGTTTGGGATTGACGAGTAAAGCTTTCATTCTTTTTCTTCATGCAGGATAAATCTTGTCTAATTGTTCCATTATCGCAGAAGCTAAAATTAATTAAATTAAATTAAAATCAATTTATATTGTATAGCAAATAATAATTAAATTAAAAACTTTAAAAATAATTCTTTAAAAGGTTTGCTTATGAATTGTCTAGTTATTTATGTACATTAAAAATGTCAGACTTTCAGATAGAACAAATGAAGGGGTCAATGCAAGAATTCTTGCACTTAAGTGCCTAAGTCACATTTTCAATTAAATTTACAATGTGGCTTCATCTAAGGGTGTTTCACATAAGGTTTCAGGTGGTATTTTCAAAGTGGCAGAAATATGTGCCCAAGTGCTTTAGTTTGCATTTACTTCAATGGGAGTTTGCCTGGTTTTCAACTTATGTGAAAACTCTTCGATGAAGCCAGAATAACAATTTAATTGAAAATGTGACTTACAACACTTCTTGCATTGACCCCTTCAAATAAAATAACTATAAAAATACTGTAAAAAAATATCACCCTGTAGTTTAAAATGCTATATTTATGTAAAAAAAACATGGAAAGCACAAAACATTTGTAATATAATCAAGTTTTGAACTGTATGCTTACAAGTGTTTAATATTACCTCTTCCAGCTGCAAACATCTTGTAGATACTCAGCAGTTCCAATTTGTGTATTCAGCTTTTACAAATCTTGGGCTCATAAACGTTATCTTTTATAAAGCCCCAGAGAAAGAAGTCGCACACTGTGAGATCGGTTGAATGTGTTGACCATACATGAAGTGCCAAATTGTTGGGCCCTTTACGTCCGATCCACCGATGAGGGGGCTGTTCGTTCATTAACCTCCGCTCCACCAAATGCCAATGTAGTGGGGCCCTGGACCCAGGTCCAGTTTTCGCGTAGCTACATCAAATAATTTTAACAAAAACATACATTTTGACAAAGATTATAGGTATATTTAACATTTTGTATAACAGCAACTATAGTTGCACTATAGTGTCGAGAAAAAAAACGTTAAAAACTGTTTTGATTGAAAGTTTTGAATCAAAACGCTTTAAAACTATTTAAATTCTATCAAAACTTGCATTAGTTAAACAACCCATAAGCAAAGAGTCTTTACTCTTTGCCATAGGTTTCATTACATAAAAAGAATTTTATTTGTTTTATCGTAACTTTTACATGTGTTTTCGGTAAACATAGAGAGAAAAAACCGATACTGTTTATCACACGTATTTTCTTATTTTAAACGCGGTAATGATGCTACAAATAACTCAAACATGACTAAAAACACCTAATAAAATGTTAAAGCCGAAATTAACAAGTTTACTTACCTAAAACAAAGAAAATTTGGATTATAAAACTTCGTACACAACACTTCAACAACACTGTCGGCCATTTGTAACATAGAAAAAGGATGTAATTTCTCAAACCGCGAACATCACGAACAAGTTGGAAAAGACCAATCACAACAAAGTAAGAATCACGTGGTTAATAACTGGGGTCTGTCAAAAACAACTTGGGTTTCAACGCATGCTAGATTTATTTTACTGTTGCCTGTTGTCAAATGCCCCTTATACCCCCCTGAGAGTGTGCGCGTATAGCTTGACCAATGCAAGAAACGTAAACTTTCTGCCGTGAAATCGGGGACGAAACAACGTATTTTGAGTCGAGGTAGTAAGAAAAATATATTTTGGATTGACGAACACATCAGTTCCAAATTTAAAATTGATAAAAAGGAATACAGGTCCCTGAGGGTTTTTTAGTTCCTGGGTATAAGTGGCCATAAGGGCCAGGATTAATCTCCAATTTGTATTAAGGGAAATTCTCCTAAAAATACTTATATGCCGCTACATGTAATATTCCTGGGAATATTCTGGTACCTATGCTTGGAATAATCCTGGGAATATTCCTGACATGTGCAGGGAATGGTGTTTTGCAGTCTGGGGTGTATATTATACCTATAAGTACAAAAATAGTTCACTACACAACATTTAATAAAAAATCTTACCTTTTGAGACATTACAGAAGTTTGTATATAAAACGACTGTGGAAATGGTAGAAAAAATGCATAAGTTAACTTTTGCAACAATTCAGTCTTAATTAAAATTAAATGTTTTCCAGATACTGCATCACAAGTTGTACTTTTTACACAACTGTATCTAAGAGTCCATTCCTTAGCACTAACATTTATTCTTAAACATTTTAAATCTTTCTTGCTTGATTTTAATGGTGCTACAATAATACTGTCTTGGTTTTTAGCTAGTTTGTTAACCATCAATTGTAAAGATTGGCGTGACGTTATTCTAGCTGAATCAGGTACAAATAATACATATGTGGTTTTTATTTGAAAGATTGGGTATCTTTCGTAAATTGAGCTCCTTAAGTTTGGTGAGAGGTTCACTAATTTTACATTTGTCAATGATGTGTTTGTTAAAGTTATATCCAGGGGAGGATATGGTAAACTATCATACAAAATTAACACGTTTATACTTGGAAAAACGTTTACAAATGACTGTGCAGTTAGTGTTACATCATTATCATTTGGTTCAAATTCTCTTATAATAACCGTAATAAGTTTACTAAGATGCTTCAAAGATGGTTTTGTTGAAGATTTATTAAGTGGTTTATGCAACGGTTTTAATGTAGTCAACCCAATATAATTTTTAGACACAAAAAATCGAAAAGCATAAAAGAAAACAAAACAAAATATAATAAAAATAAAAATTGTTAAAGATTTTGTGGGCTTGAAACGCATACTAAGCAGTAAAGTAATTAAAATATAAAGCAAAATAAAACACTTATCTTTAATCCACCATCTGAGGGATTCATTTTTGTTTATTCGCTCTGCTAAAACTTTGACAGCTGTCAAAAAATATCAACAATTTTATTGGATAAATTTTTATAGAAAAAAATATTATCCTATAATAAATATAATTACAGTTAAATATTAATAAAATAATTAAATATAAATAATAAAGTAAAAAAATAATCGTTGTTATGTGTGTTTTTTAATTTATTTAAGTTCTTTGTTTAATGAAACGGAAAATAGTTCTATCATCACATTTTATCTTATGGAAATATAAGTCGCTGCTGCCAAGTGAATTTTTATCAGCCAATTACAGAAGTTTTGTTTTTTATAGTTACAAAATTACGGTATAAAGTGCTTTAATAAAAATAAATGTTGTACAAAAATATTGTATGTTTAGGGTTTGGTTTTATATTAACCTAAATAATTTTGATTTAAATCCTTCGGAGGAATACTTGTTGTATGGTCAAGTACAACTTGACAACGTCGTGCTCAGGTGTCATGGCGAGTTGTTATGGTGGTGTTTTGGCAAAAAAGGAGATATAAAAAGTGTTAAATTTAGTGTGTAAATGTAAATATGAATTCTCCAGAGGAGACTAAAAATGTGATTCAAAATGAGGAGATGCCATCCTGCAGCCGGGTGTCTTCGGACAATAACGCTAATACAACAAATAATACAGATCAAAGTAAAGGAGCAATACCAAAAACAAAAATCGTAAGCAAAAGCTGTATTTCTACATCGAAAAAGATTGTTAAATTGAACAATAACTCGGAAACTATGGCCCCCATGAATTGTCTGGTTGGGAATTGTGGTGACATGATAAAAAAAAATGGATATACTGAAAATGGTTCAATGTCAAATATCTTTAACAACTCGAGTCTTTTAAATGAACACGAAGCAAATAACGGTCTAGGAAGCAAGGAGCCTGATGATTATGACTACAATTTAAGAAAACTGGGTATTTCAAATGAAGATGACTTTGTTAAACTTTCATATCCAGATGATTTGTTTGCTTGTTTTGGTGATCAAAATCACACCCCTCCAAAAAATGACTCGGATAGTTGTAGTGATGACACAGAGTTATTGTCTGTATCAGACGATGGCTGTATTTATACTTATAAGGCTGATTATCTGGCTGATTTGCCAAGATCATTTTTTAATCTTGAAATACCACCAAATGAAAATATTGAACAACCTCTTGTCTCTGTTAGTAGGGAAGGAAACTGCAGTCCAGAAATGGACTTTCTTGAAATGGACTTTGAACCAGAATCCACTGGGGACCAGGATGGACTTAGAACTGATTTAGGTGATGACAATATTGCTAAAGATAGTTTTGACTCTCAGTTTATGTTACCTAAAAGTGAATTATGTGGCTCAAGAAATGTTGATAAAACCATACTAGTGAATAGTGATAGTGTTGTTAATGAAGTTTTTCACAACAATTATGACACTTTTTCTGAAATTTTGAAGACATTTCATTTAGCAAAGCCCAGTGAACAGTCAGAAAAAGGTAATTCAAATCATTAGACAACCATAATCATAATACCAAGTTTAACACATTGTGTGCCAAATGTTAAAAATAGCTTATCACAAGGGGCCACAGATACTTACTTAATATTTATTTCAAATAAATAAATGATTTGTACACGTTTCAGCATCAAATCTTTTAGATTTTACTCAAACCAAATATAGAAAAATTTTTTCCAGAATCCTACATAATTTGTCTGTACCTACTATCATTCATATTTGAACAACACAGCCTAAAACAGTTTGCTACTTATCATACACATAATATGCATATTATGTGTATGATTCATGAATGACAGGGAAAGAACACAAAAACATTTGCTGCTGTAATATTTTGTGGTAATTAAGTAACGTAAGTCCCAATCAATGGTCAATGATTACCCAAGTTTGTTTACTAATATGGCCAATCATTGGGCAATTCTTCGAACGGTATTATATTGTATTTTCTCTTTGCACAGTAAATATATACTGTGTGTCCACGGAGGGACTTAACTATACTTAACTATACTAAATATTTATTTTAAATTGTTCGAAGAAAAGTCACTTTTCATAATTTCTTCTGCTTGTTATATAAATACCATTCACAATGAGAAACTTATATTTTGTTATACAGGGTGCGCAAACAAAATACAATTGTTAAATATATTATTTTGAAGGTCTAATATGAAGAGCTTGTAAGGAGAAACCAAAAAGCCAAATAAAGTTTTTTCATGTGAGTTGTTGTTACCTACTAAGATATTTGTTATTAAAAATAAAATCAATTCAGGTTCTAACTTAAGTGGTCCTATTATTTTGTAAAAATTGACTGCTATCTCATTTTGTGATTATGAATCAAGGATGTTGCTTTCAACTAACATGTCTACAATGTCTACAATTATTTGTTAAAATTTGAAAACTATAACCTTAAATTTTCAATATCAAATATCTTAGTATCAAAAACTCATATGAAAAAACTTCATTTTACTTTTTGATTTCTCCTTACCATCTCTTAATATTAGCGCCTCGATTAGCGCTTAAAAAAAATATTTAAAATTTTTTAAATTTTGAAAATCTGTATTTTTGGTCACCCTGTACAACTAAATGGATGTTTCTCAACGCGAATCGCAAGCAAAAGAAATTATGAAAAATGACTTTCTCAAAAAATTGAAAATAAATATTTTTACAAGTATAGTTTAGTCCATCCGTGGACACTAGGGTGGTCCTTATTTGTATATAAAAATTTTTGTTGTGAAATTCCGGCCGTATCACCCCTTAAAAATTGTTCAAATAGGAATACCAAAATAAGCTGTGTAAAATTTGAGCCCGATCAATTAACTCTAAAAGTTCATTCACATCCACTTAATATGCGTAACTTAACTTAACTTAAGAAACCTACGTCTGTTAAGTTGTCTGTTTACATTAACTTAATACAGACAAAAAACGTAATATACAAGCACGCGCAATGTAGACATCGATGTAGACTGGGTTGCCTATCTATCTATAATAGTGAAACAACAAGATAACGCTATATTGTTTTACTGGGCATGTGATTGGCTCACGTAAGAAACGTATTCCCTTAAGCCGGGTCTACAATTGTCGCAGGACGCAGATCGCAGTACATAAGCTTGCGCAAAGCACCCAGCTGACAAAAGAACCTTGCTTTATCGCCACGTCGCAGGGTGCTTTGCGCAAGCTTATGTTCTGCGATCGGACCCCTGCGACAATTGTAGACCCGGCTTTAAGTTGAGCCGGACCAAACTTTTGGATACGTTACGTGTGATAAGTTTTCAACGAATGTAAACAGCTGCATTGGTTTCAATGTATTTCAACTTACGTCTCTCACGTACGTTAAGTTAAGTTACGCGTATTAAGTGGATGTGAATGAGCTTTAAGACAAGCCTCAAGGGCCTTGTTTTGGTTAAATTATAAAAACCGCATTTAAACAAATAAATCTGTGGGTAAAAGGCATAAGGGGATAAGTCAAAACAAGCAATTTTTCAGTGGAGCCTTAAACGCGTTCGCATTAATTTAGGAAATATATATTTGGTTAGTGGGTATACCCTTTTGGTAGCACATGTCATATGCTACCAAAAGGGTATAACCGCTAACCATAAGTATATTTCCTGAATTAATGGGAACACGTTTAAGGCTCTGCTGAAAAATTGCTTTTTTTGACTTATCCCCTTATGCCTTTTATCCACAGAAATGTAATCTAAACTGTTCTTAAAATTGCTGTTTTACTACTGTTTGGAAACTTTTTACGGTAACAACTTTTAAAAGAAACTGTTTCTGATCTTTTTTTGTTAAAATACTGTTAAATTCTTCCATAAGTTTGACACCTCATTCGCGGTATCATTTACAACTTTAAGATTTTTGACGATTGACAATCCCTTTTGAAAATCTTATCGAGAGTTCCAACTTGGAACTTCCAAGTGGTACTTCAAAAACTCACACCCTATTTTAAATCGTTTAAAAAATGTGGTAGTACTTTTTTATGCAAGACATTGTAGCGGCTGGTTAATATAAGTGACTTTTTCTTCAAGTAGGTATAACATGTTTTAAATTTTGGGAATCGTCCTTATTGCCTTCATCTTCCTAGATTGCTTTTGCAAGTTCAATTTTTGTTTAAATCTTATAACGCTTTCGTCGAAAAGCGCCAAAGCAATTGACTCTGCTGTCAAATGCCAAAGATGGCCGCAAAACTTTTGTATAGCTTTATTTGATAAAACTTTGTGCTTTTATAAAAAAAATAAGTAAATTGAAGTCTTGCAATGGTGCTTTCGCAGCAACAAAAACACGCTTTAATGTAAAGGCTAGTAATAAAAATACAAATATCCTTAAGACCCTCAATTTCATGCAAAGATAGTTTAAACTGGCTTTGTTTTCTATTATGTATGAATTAGTTCTTTACGCTTGCAAGCCATTTTTAAATAAAATAAGTGTATAAAACTCGTCGGCGAAAGCTTATTAGTTGCCTCGCTCACAATCTACTGCCTCAGCTGTCGCCTCGGCAGTGAAATGTATGCTCGGCGATAATATGTGCTTTCTCCGCCTGGACTATAATGTACTATTTTATACTTACAAATTTATTTGTGGTGGCACAATAGTATATTATTCACTATTGGCAACATTTGACCTACATGAGGCACATGTTAACAACATCCGATCAGTGTAAAATTTGACAGGGATTTATATATAATCAAAAGGAAAAATTAAGGGGTTGAGACAAATTCAGAATTTAAAAAATAAGGACCACCCTAGTGGACACACTGAATATTATTAGATGTATTAAAATATATAAAAGCTGGCACAGCGAAGGTAGCAAAATATGGTAACAAAATCAAGCTATCGTTATTGCCCAGAACTTATTAAAAATACCAGGGTGTGTGCCAGCTTAACAACATGTAAAATGATTAAATTGATGATAAATTATGTTGAGCATAATGAATTACTCTCGGAATTACTATTTATAACCAAAAATTCAAAAACTGATTCTTGAAATAAAATTTATAAACCAATGTGTGCTTGCCTAAAACCGCAGCAAACTGACTCGAATCTCCTCAATTCTCAATTTTTGTTCTACGTTATTGCTCTAGCGTTTTTTTATATTAAACTAAACTTATAAAAGATAAAAGGTCAAATGTTAAAGTCAATTCCTGAGCACAATTCCGCGCGTGCGGAAAAGAAAAGCATCATAAAATCGACTGAATAGGCATCGGTTGAAGTACCTAACGGTGCAGAGGATTTTCGGCAAAATGCCAGTCGGCACCGTTGTTTTTTTGAATGCCTACAATTTTTGTCCGGGAAAAAAGGAGATAACTTGTGCTTTTTTAAGTGTCCGGGAGTTTTTTTGAATTTTACCTATGTACAAAAGTGGAAATACCACGTTGCAATGACAACGGTTTGTTCGTATTTTACACCAAAAACTTCAAAAGCAGTTTTTTAACGTTTTTGCCAAGTACAATTATACTGGGTTCTTAGTTTTTGCATAAAACTAGTTAAAATTATCGTTTTGGTGATATTCAAAAAGAAACACGGTAAAAGTAAAAATAGGTGCCTATTTTTTTTAATATATAATTCACTAAAAAAAAATACATGATTCAATGACAGGTACAATATTTGGTAAAGATTTAAAGCATTTAAATATAAAAAACATTAAGATATAAAAAACATTCAAGTATAAATTTAATAACAATAAAATTACTACCTCTTGCAGTTAGTTAATTTTTTATTTATTTTTTTTTTAAGAAATTTACCAATTTTGTATGTTTAGTAGCCATTTTCATTTTCCTAAATACCGCTTGCGCTTAAAAATAAAACAGATAATTTTCATTCGAACGCAGCTGTTATAATTCCCCGAAAAATGAAAAACTTACGTATTAAAAAAAGTAAAATTTATTAGTTACGTTATTTATGAATAAATTCTTTATTTTTACTTAGTAGGTCGTTCATAACTTTTTTTTTAATCCACTTTTTCCGATTTATCGGAAAAGACATTTTAGGAAATTGTTTTGTTACTTATATCCTATCCTATATCATATAGGCTATATGGTGAAGCGGAACGTTTTATCCGAGGTTTTATCTTATTTCGACTAGAGAACAACTGTAATGTGTTATCGTGGTATGCTACCGATCCCATAGGTATCACTTTAAGTCCTTTTAAATGATTTTAGTTTTTGCGCCTTCTTTGTAAAAAACATTTGAAAATTCTTTTACGCTTTTACTTAAACAGTTGACTGCTGTGAGCTTAAACTTAAATGATTATAATTAATTCATATCAAACTATTTAACGTGGCCTGCGTCAGGTACCTATGTGACTATTGTTTTTCAAAATTGTATTTGTGCTAATTGCGGCGTTCAGCTGTTCTAGTAAATAAAACACCACGTAAAAGTGATTTGAATTCACTTCAAAAAACCTTCTGCAATCCAACCTGAACGGTCATGTTACAATGGTTATGTTTGGCTTTAACGGCACGGGCATAAATGCACTTTTACGTTGATATAATATATGACTTTTTGAGTGTTTGTTGATTTAATCAACTTGATTATGGATCCATGATTGATGGCAATTAAATAAACATTGAAATTGGATAGAATGTACCGTGGCCGACACGGAATTTTGAACGACTATCATCCCGTTGACATCAAAATCTAAACTTTCTTTATGGACAACTAACCTTACTTTCGGTTATCACTAGTATTGTAATTTTGACAGCGAAAGCAGAAATGCTCAATATTGTATCTTTGCTATTTACAGATGTATACATTAACAACGAAGTTATGTCGTTCGAAATTCCGTGTCGGCCACTGTACCTACCAATTATTTTAAGTTGGTAAGTTTTATTTGTATTTGTAATTTATAAGGCATAAGGTGATATCGGAATGCCTGGTGAATCACCGCCAATGAGTCATCGCTTGTTTACGGCGGGGGATTCCCGAACGATCGAGGGTGGTGTGGAACGTACTGGAAAGATCGGTAAAAGGCAAGCGTGAAGCCGGTCACGTACGTGCTGGATAAATCACATCAATCGGAAGGTCGAGTTAGTTAGTTAAGCTTTGGTACTCGCGACAAAATAAATTAAATATACATACAAATAAATAGACTTTTGTACAATAGTGATACATAAATAATTAGTGGTTAAGTGACTAGTAAGTTTCATAGATTTTTACTGTTTTTATTGTAATTAAGTTGTAAAAATAAATCGTTTAGTTCGTTAATAAACCAGTGCGTGTTTTATTTAGACTGTCGAACTCTCTTGTTTCACAATCATTGCATTGCACAGCAAAGCATAGCATTGAGGCTGAATTGCATGCTTAAAACGGTCAATTAAAAAGCACCCATATACTAAGGCTACTAGGAGAAAATGCTCTAGTAAAAAAAGTGGTGAAAGCTGGTAATATTGGCAAAATAAAATTTTAGCAAAATAAAGGAAATTGCCGCAAAAAGATTAAATACTTTAGATGAACTACGGACAATGGCTAGAAATAAACATGAAAAAACTGAAAAATCCAATAACCCGACACCCTGGGGGGTAAAATGGTTTTCCGTCGAAGAATAAAATAAGGCATTTTATAAATTTTTATTTTTAGGTAAAAGATTGGTTTGATCTCGTAAATGTCAGAGTACGAATTGGTAAAATCCATGAAATATGAGATGAAACAACTATTATTTTGCTCCAGAATGTATTTTCAAATAAAATCTTTAGATAAGGAATGAAAAAATTCTACTTTCTCTAAGAAAAGAATATTGTAATAAAATTGTTAATTGAATCGCTTATTAGGTCTGTTCTTATTAGGTCTTGACCTGAAAAAGTATATTCGCTCGTTAAGCACAGTGATAGCTGGTCAAAGTTTCTTGTGTTACAAAATACCGTCAGATTTCAATCGCTAATAATACGAGACTAATAATGCGATAACAACGGTTAAGGTCAAAATGGATAGAACATGTCTGTACGTGTTTTATGTGAAGCGTTTGTTTTGCCTGTGATGTCATCGGGATAGTGTAAGCGCCTGTGCGTGATTATTGTGAATTAGTGTTGTGTAAAATTATAAAGTAGTGTAGCGTGAAAACGCGTTTACACAGCAAACGGAAAAATATAGAACTGTATAGGATGACTCCCCGTTTGAATTATAAATCTTAAAGTTTTATCAGAACTGTATTGAATCGTGCTCAAACTCGATGGTGTCTTACAAGATACATTATTTTGATTTTCTATACCTATTCAACAGAGAGGTAGAAACTCGACCCTGTCTCTAGAAATTACTGAAAAAGGGTTCAGTCCAATGGTGCAGCAACTTCGGATTCCTATTCTCTTCAGAGACATAGAAACTCAAGCTTTTCGAATTTTACTGGCAATGTTTTTAGTTTATGTCCCCGAGAATTATACAAAAACAGCGCAATGCAATATCGCAACGGTTTCGACTTCTCTTCACTCTACCAAGTTATAGAAACTGGAGCCTCTCTAATACTGTTCTATTCAATATTTCTGAGAGCATAAATGGGGGTGTAATTCAATATTGCAAGAAGTTTTGATCTTTTGACGTGTCAATTTATTAAATAAAATCAAGGCAAAATTTTGAATACCCTTACAGTGTGGATTCTGGTCTGATTTATTAATGCCATATCTTTGTTGAGTACGAATGTTCTCTACTAGTGTTACTAAAAAGAGAATATTTTTTTTTGTAGAAAAGTAGCGTTTTAAATATATACATATCTGGCAATGTAAGTAAATTGTTCTTTATAAATGTTTGTTTAAATGATTCGTTGAATTCCAAATTAAAAATACACATTATAATTCTTTTCTGAAAAACAAATAGGTAAATCCTTTGTATGAGATGAATTGCCCCAGAAAATTATGCCATATTTTAGATTTGAATAGATTAAGGCATAATATACATTTAATAAAACTGCTTTTGGAAAAATAAACCTTAAATAAAGTAATAAATAATGATACTTGTTAATTCTTTTTAAAACATTGGCTGTTTGATCCTTCCATGAAATTTTTTTTCCAAGATAACACCTAAAAATTTAACTGAATGATTTAGTTCAACTGAATATTTATTATTAATATTAATTATATTTTCGGCAAACCCATACTCTCCGAGTTTTATATACTTGTCCACATTTAACTTAAGGCCATTGTTTTGAAACCACTGGAAAATATTTTCTTGTGTTGAACAAATAGTTGTTTTAAATCATTTATTGTATGAGATGTATAAATTGCAGCTGTATCATCTGCATACATAAAAATGTTTTTAATAAATTGAGGCAAATCATTGACATACAAAATAAAGAGGATAGGACCAAAAATTGAACCCTGAGGAACTCCTTTTTTTAAAATCCACAGTATTAGAAGTAAACTCCAACCCATTATCTGATGCTACTATGTAAATAAATTTAGCGCAGTGCCTCTTATACCATATTTTTCTAATTTAATCTCCAAGAGATGCTTATCGATGGTATTGTAACGTTTTTTAACTGTTCGTAGTGTGAATAAAACACGCACTGGTTAATTAACGAACTAAACTATTTATTTAATAACTTAACTACACTTAAAACACTATAAAACTAACTAAACACTTAACTACTAATTATTTATATCACTACTAGTTTATTTATTTGCACTTATATTTATTTATTTCTTCGCGCGTACCAAAGCTCAACTGACTGCTCTGTGTTGCTCCGTTTCTTATATATTCAGCGCCCAAGTATTCTGGAACATTCCAGCGAGCTCCACACTCTCGATTATTCGAGCGCTGAGTCACCGGCGATGACTCACCGGCAATGACTAATCGGCGATGAGTCATCACTCCGATATCCAGGGCGGTACTCGCTACATTGCCCCCGTCTTAAAACATTTTCGTCCCGAAAATGGTCCTCAGCTCCATGGCGATATTTGCATAGAGATCCAAACTTGCATTGTGACGTCCTATAGAAGTAGCAGTCTACGGTCTTCCTTCCTGTGGTTCTTTTAGGGTTGTGGCAACAGACAAGAATGTGTATGCCACTAAATCTAAAGATAACTTCCACCATACTTCTAATTATTCTCCAGTCTAAACCGTCAAGTCCACAAGCAATCTTTGGTATCGCCAGGTTCATGATGTCCTTGGACAAAAGGGTATCCCTCAATTTATTTAAGGCATGCCATACATCACGGTAGTCTGGCTTCTGATTGGAGAGTTGCTTCGTTACCAGATAGAAGATACTTCGGTTACCTATCTGCTCATTATCCACAATTTCAAGCACCTTTCCAACTTTGGGACTCTGCCTTTGTAGCTCGTCGACCCGTCCAAATTTGTTTTTAAAGATAACCGCTATTCCCCTGGACATCCTAAGGTCTTCCGCAACACAGTGAGCCAAGGAGTAATCGGCCGAAACCGTGAACAGATCTTTTTGCTCTTCTCGAGTGACACCATACCGAGCTTTTTTACCGCTCGAATATGAATACATGAAGTCTTCAAAAGGCAAGTCGTCTTCCGCCGGATTAAGTCTCCTTACTCTAGCATCGTCTATTTGATCATTGTTTCCAGCGTAAGGAGCCAATCGGTTGAAATGGATCACTTTCGGCTTTCCTCTTGGTTGTTTTCTGATCCTGTAGATGATGTCATTTATGCGATCCATGACTTCGTATGGTCCTTCCCAAGAAGTCTGCAGCTTCGGTGAATAACCACGACGGCGCTGAGGGTTGTATAACCAAACTAGGTCTCCTGGTTGAAATCCTCCATTCTCCGCCTTGACGTAGTATGCCTCTTTCATTCTATCACTGGCACTCTGGATGTTTAAACGAACTCGGTTATGAATGTCGCTCATTTTTCTACGTAAATTGCTGACATAATCTTCTCCAGCAATCCCAAGTGATTACCGGTCACTTTTCCGAAAGTCATTTTCCCGACAGACCAATTTCCCGACAGACCATTTTCCCGACACACCATTTTCCCGACAAGATTTTTCCCGACACCATTTTCCCGAAAGTTGTTTTCCCGAAAGTCGTTTTCCCGACAAGCCATTTTCCTGACAAGCCATTTTCCCGATAAGTCATTTTTAAGACAAATAATTTTTACCACAAACGACACAATATATTTTAACAGAGTGACGTCATCCAATGACGCAATCTTAGGACGAGAAGCAGATCTTTTTTCCTTAACCAACGTCCCGAGTCCGCCCGCTTCAAAACCAACCCAAACCCAACAACCCAACCCAACCGACCCCGCCCCATTGGCCCTTACAGAATTCCAGAAGGAACAAGCGGATACCGAAATCATTTTTGACCAGGTATGTTTTTCTTTACTAGATAATAAAACTTTTGTCGTGAACATAATCTTTCGGGAAAAGGGCTATCGGGAAAAACGTTTCTTAACTGGATAATAAGATTTTTGTCGTGAACATAGTCTGTCGGGAAGAGTGCTGTCGGGAAAAACGTCGTCGGGAAAATGGTTTGTCGGGAAAATGGTCTATCGGGAAATTGGTCAGTCGGGAAATTGCATTCGGGAAAGTGACCGGGAACCATCCCAAGTAGCACATCTAGTTAAATAACTAGCATTCTAAGTAAATTAACCAAAATCTAAGTAAAATAACGTTTTTTAAAACTTGTTTTTTAACCAATTAGTTGTAGTCAACCATTAACATTTTTTTAAGGTTACTATGATCATAGTTCGAACTATAAAATAACCCTTTAACTTTACCAACCGGTTGCTATAACCTTAAGGTAAACTCAAAGGTTATTTTTTACTATAATTTAACTAAAAAACAAAACCCATTGGTAATATTACCAACAGGTTAATTATTTGGTTTATTTATAGTCAATTTAAACTCTTGAAATAACCTAAATTTACTGTTAGGTAAATTTAAGTTATTTCAAGAGTTTAAATTGACTATAAATAAACCAAATATTTAACTAGTTGGTTATATTACTTAAAAGATAAAAAGTAGGTTATTTTAGAAGTTAGATAACGTTATATTAACTGCTAATTTTAACTATTGAAAATAGTTAAGAGTAGTTATTTTTTTAGACATATTTAGGTTTAGTTTAACTTTTAATTTAACTTTTTGGTAAATTAACCACAGCTTTGGTTAATTTGGATATATTTTTTTAACCAACAAGTTATATTTTACCAAATATATTTTAACTCGCTGGTAAATTAACGTTAATTAATAAACTGGTTAAAAAAGTGTTGGTTTTGCAGTTTTCATTGTTACCTGTATATAAAAATTTGTCTCAATACAGCTTTATATATAATTTATATATATATATATAATATAAACCTTTTGTTGTGAGTTTAGTGTGATAATGGAGCCTACAAGAAATAAATTTTTTATTAACTTTGATTAGGTAAACTCACAGATCACAGGGTATATAATATATTAAAAACGTTTATAACAGAACAGATATAAAAATAAAGCAGTGCTGCAACTAAAATCAGAACGTAAAATAGGCGGGAATTTTTTTAGGTTAGTTATTTTAAAAATAACAAGTTAGATTAATTTAACTAATTTTGGTAATTATTAACTATAATGTGTTACATTAACCGAATTTAAACCAAAACCAAAGAGTTATAAATTACGGATAGGTAAATAAAGTAGTTAAATTAAACACAATAAAATAACCAAATGGTTTAAATAAACTTGCAGGTTAATTTATATTGGTTATGTAACCAATAAGTAAAAGCATCATAAAATCGCCATGTTGTTTGCTGTCCATTCTAACAAAAGGAAATGCGATTAATTTTAATAATTTGTTTTATTCCAAAAATAAGGTAATGTAAACAAACCAATAATAAAACATAATATTATTTTATGTTTAAAGGTATTTTAAATCAATTTTAAACAAAATAAAGAAAAATTAGCCAACCAAAAATATTTTTTTTAATTTTTATTTTCTTTATTTCTTATTTTTTTCAAAGCGCATTTAAAATATGAAAGTATTATGTACTATTTTATCAAAAAAAAAATGCCCCATTGGTTTTTCCCTTTAAACATTAAGACATCAATTAATATATATATATTTATATATGAGTATTAATATTTAGGGCGACATTTTATTCTAAGGATCTGTAAGTCATATCTATAGTTATACGTATGGTTATGTACATAACCATATTTAATTATTATATAGTTAAAATAAACTTAAACCGGTTAATTATAGTTTAAGTCAACTTAAGAGTTAAAAAGTAGTTTAAAAGGGTAGAATAAACCATAAACTACCAAATATTAACTTCTTGTTAACCAAAAGGTACATTAACCAAGAAGTTACATTTAACTAACATAACGTTAATTTTACCATAATTGAATTCCCCACTTATTACAAAATATCGTTAATTTAAGGTTAATTTAACGTTGTAGTACAATATTACTTAAATGAATTAACCAGTCATAACGTAAATTTAACGTTAATTTAACTAATTGTGCTACTTGGGATATCTTCTCCTGGTAGGCAACCAAACCTCAGGTCACAAGGTAGACGAAGTTCACGTCCCATAACAATGCTAGCGGGTGTCTGGCCGGTTGTATCGTGGATAGAAGAACGGTACGCCAACAGGAACAGATGGAGGAAGCGGTCCCAGTCTCTTTGGTGATCAGAGACTACCTTGGACAGGTACCGGTTTATCGTTCGATTCATTCGTTCTACCATTCCATCAGACTGCGGATGTAATGCAGTGGTCCTCGTCTTCCGAATGTTAAGAATTTTACAGACATTCTGGAACAGTATAGATTCAAAGTTCCTGCCTTGCTCTGAATGCATCTCCATTGGCACACCAAAACGACAAATCCACTCCTTAATAAGGGCATCGGCCACTGTGGCAGCTTCCTGGTTTGGCAAGGCGTACGCTTCCGCCCACTTGCTGAAGTAGTCCATTACAACGATGATGTATTTATTTCCAGATTCTGTTTCCGGAAATGGACCCGCCACGTCGATTGCAATTCTTTCAAATGGGCTACCCACATTGTATTGTCGCATTGGGGCTTTTGGGCGCTTCTGGGGTCCATTGCTTGCCGCGCACACGGCGCACTTCTTGCACCATTCCTTCACATCTCGTTGGCTGTTGACCCAATAAAACCGTTCCCTAAGTCTTCCGAGCGTCCTGGTCACCCCAAGATGTCCTCCAGTAGTTCCATCATGGATTTCCTGCAGCACTTCTGGTATCCTGTTTCTGGGGATTATTATCTGCTTCCGGTCTTCCCCCCCTTCTGGCATCTTCAAAACGCGCTTTAGAAGCCCGTCACTTAAGATAATGGAATTCCATTGAGCCCAGTACGATTTCACATTCGGCGAATATTGGGCGACTTCCTGCCACGTTGGTTTACGGTCGTTCTTCTTCCACTCGATGATAAGCTTCAAATCCGGATCCCTTTCCTGGTCTTGTTGAACCTCAGCGGATTGCCAATGATCATCCACGATTGTAGTCCTGCGAACAAACACATCCTTTTCTTCGGCCCTGAGACAATGTTTACAGTCTTCCGGGCACGGTCTTCTTGACAAGGCGTCAGAATTTCTATGGATGGTCCCAGCCCGATGTTCTGTGTCAAAGTCGAACTCCTGTAGTCTCTCAATCCATCTTGCTACCTGTCCTTCAGGATTCTTAAATTGCAAAAGCCATTTTAGGGCAGCATGATCCGTTCTTAGCAAGAATTTTCTTCCATACAGATACTTGTAAAAGTGTTCGACTGATTTTACCACTGCCAACAGCTCGCGTCGAGTAACACAGTAATTTCGCTCTGGTTTCGATAGAGTTTTACTGAAGTATCCAATAACTTTCTCTTTTCCTTCTTGAATCTGCGACAAAACAGCTCCCAGGCCCACATTGCTGGCGTCCGTGTCCAAAATAAATTCACCATCCGGAAGTGGATAACTCAGGACTGGTGAGCTGGTCAACGCGTTTTTCAGGTTCTTAAAGGCTTCCTGGCATTCTTCGTCCCATTGGAATCGTCTTTCTCCCTCTGTTAAACGTGTCAAAGGCTTAGCAACCTTTGCGAGTCCTGGTACGTACCGACGGTAGTAGGTGCATAATCCAAGAAAGCTTCTTAAGTCATGTTTGTTCTTCGGCATTGGCCATTCCCGCACCGTCTTCACCTTCTGTTTGTCCACTGCCACTCCTTGACTCGAAACAACATGGCCCAAATACTGCACTTCCCTCTGGAACAAGTGACATTTCTTCGGGCTTAGCTTCAGGCCGGAACTTCTTAAGCGCTGAAAGACTTCCTTCAGGTTCTTCATATGGTCCTCAAATGATTTCCCAACCACAATGATGTCGTCAAGGTACACCAAGCATGTCTTCCAGGATAGTCCCTTCAAAACCATTTCCATGAGCCTTTCAAAAGTTGCAGGGGCATTACATAGTCCAAACGGCATGACAGTAAACTGCCACAGTCCAGCACCCACGGTAAACGCCGTCTTTTCTCTATCTTCTGGTGCCATTTCAACTTGCCAATAACCGCTCTTTAAATCCAAAGTTGAAAATATCTGTGATCCAGCCAATGTGTCCAGGGTGTCCTCGATCCTATGTAGAGGGTAGCTGTCCTTCTTCGTCACGTTGTTCAGCTGACGAAAATCGACGCAAAATCGAGTTGATCCATCCTTTTTCTTAACTAACACCACTGGTGAAGACCATGGGCTGGTTCGATCACCCCTTCCTTCTCCATTTCTTGCACTATTTTATCAGCTTCCTCTCGCTTAGCAAGAGGTAGCCTTCTTGCCGACTGTCGAATGGGCTGCGCATCACCGGTGTTAATTTTATGCTGGACAGTTTTTGTTCTACCCTTCTTTCCTTGTCCGTCGTCAAAAACATCCTGATAATTGTGTATCAGCTCTCTTAGCTTTATTCTTTCATTGGGCTTCAAATCCTTTGAAGAAGTTGACAGAAGATTCATCAATTCATTGCTCACTTTCTTGGCCGGGACTGCAGATTCACGAATGCCTCTAATAATCGAGGAAACCGAAGAACAGTTCCCCAAAACGATTCCTTTCTTCAAGTTTACAGAGTAACCATTAACATTCAATACTCTAACAGGCACTTCTTTTCCGACACGTATTAAAGTCTTCCCTACTACAATTCCTCGACCGACCTCTTTGTCATCAATTCTCGGATCCAGAAGCATTATACTTCCATCTTCTGATTTACAATCCAAGAAAGCCTTCAAAATCATCTCGCTGTTTTCCGGTATCAAAGCATCTTCTGTTAGCATTACACGAATATTCTTTTCTTTAGATCGATGCAACACGACTTCCTCTCCATTTACCCTCAATATTCCTTGCTTAAAGTTCAGTTCAAATCCTATTGAGTTCATAATGTCCATGCCTACAATAACTTCATCTTCAATATCTGCAACTAATGCTCGATGTTTAAATTTCGTGTTTCCTATGACCATCGTGATGTCCACTTCTCCACGAACAGTAGCGGTTTCTCCTGTTGCAGTACGTAGTCGCCGATTGGTTGATTTGATCTTGGACATTTCGACAATATCTGGCCTAATAATTGTCTTCGTCGCACCTGTATCCAGCAGCAGCACATGTAATTTTCCATTAATTAAACCATCCACAAAAACACTGCTGGACTGGTGTAGAAGAGATGCAACACGTTCGATATCTTCTGGGGCATACTGGTTACAGGTCGACGGTGGCCCCTTTTCCTCGACCCTATCTAGTTTTCCGACTGAGACGAAGTCGGCACTGCCTGACTTTCTCTGCAACGACTTCGAATATGTCCTAGCTTTCCACATCTCCAACATCGGATTTCCTTCTTCTCTGGTAGATTTTCTTTAAAAACTCGCCTGATTGCTTCAATTATACTGGGTTCCTCCTCTTTCTCTTCCTCGACTCTCCTTATTCTAGGCTGGCTCCTGCAGCTCTGCTTTGCCGCCTCGAATTCCAAAGCTCGAGCCAATGCATCAACCAGTTGGCTCGGACGAGCCAATGTCAGAGCCTGTCGTGTTTCATTGTCCCGAAGTCCATCCAAAAAGGCTTGAACCGCTAATCGTTCCATAACGGTCATTGGAGTAGCTGGATATGCTAGCCGAACCAAGCGTGCAATATCAGCCTCATATTCTTGCAAAGTCTCGTTAGATTTCTGGCAGCGATTCTTTAGTTGGGAATGGTACACATGTTCCAGATGTGTCTGGCCATATCGCAATTCCAGATGTTTAACCAACGCTTCGTAATCTTCTTGTTCGTTGGGAGAAAGTGTCTGCAAGATGTCCGTTGCATCTCCGCGTAAAGCCAGAGTCAATGCTGTAGCCTTCTCTTCTGGTAGCCAGCCATTTGCTTTTGCTGCTGCCTCAAACTGACGGATGTAGTTGGTCCAAGAAGTTTTTCCATCGAACTGAGGTGGTTTCATCCGTACTCGGCTTCCCTCCTGCACTACTCCTGGTTCCGTCAGCATCATAGGTAAATTTACAGCTTTCAGTTTACTATTTATTTCTCTAATTTTGACCTCCAATTTCTCGTTCAATTTTTCTTCTCTCGTATCCAATTCCATCCTTACGTTATTTATTTCCATCCTTACATCGTCAACTTTCTGTTCCAAATATTTCTTTAAATTTTTAGAATTTTCCATAATTTTCTGCTGTAGTTCGCTAGAATTTTCCAGCATTTTCTGTTGAAAATCGTCCTTTAAATCGTTGACATTTTCTAACATTTTCTGTTGCAACTCGTTGGAATTTTCCAGAATCTTTTGTTGTAAATCTTTTAAATCGCTAGAATTTTCCAACATTTTCTGTTGTAATTCGTTGTAATTTTCTAGAATGTTCTGTTTTAAATCACCTTTCAAATTGTTAGAATTCTCCAACATTTTTTCGTTTAAATTTTGCAACATTAAATGCATATCACACGGGCCTTCAAATAAATACGTATCTGGATTTTCACCTTCCTGCTCCAACGCTTCTCGAAGCCGCTGCTGCAACACATTCTTTTTTCCAGTTGTTTCACATTCTCGTTCTTCCAGCTCCCGCTTAAGGTCCGCCACTTTTAAGTCCATTAACGAAACCATTTTCGCGAAGTTTCACACTAATCCCACTTCTGACACCAATGTAACGTTTTTTAACTGTTCGTAGTGTGAATAAAACACGCACTGGTTAATTAACGAACTAAACTATTTATTTAATAACTTAACTACACTTAAAACACTATAAAACTAACTAAACACTTAACTACTAATTATTTATATCACTACTAGTTTATTTATTTGCACTTATATTTATTTATTTCTTCGCGCGTACCAAAGCTCAACTGACTGCTCTGTGTTGCTCCGTTTCTTATATATTCAGCGCCCAAGTATTCTGGAACATTCCAGCGAGCTCCACACTCTCGATTATTCGAGCGCTGAGTCACCGGCGATGACTCACCGGCAATGACTAATCGGCGATGAGTCATCACTCCGATATCCAGGGCGGTACTCGCTACAGTATCAAAGGCTTTGGATAGGTCAAAAAAGGCAGAAACTGCCAGTGTTTTACTATTCCATAATCGCATAATTTGATCAACCAAATTAAATATTGCCAATTCAGTATTGCTGTTTTTTACGAAACCATATTGTTGTTTTGAAATTATGTTGTATTTATATGCTATTAAACTTTAATAATTTAGTAATGAGGTCTGTTGGTAGACCCTGCACGTTTCCACTGGTAGTTTTATATTAGTACAGCAATATTTAAATCTGGTTTATCAAAAAGTACTATCCTCGAGCGCTCGACTTTTATAAACGTATTGTAGGTTATTGTAGCATCTACGAACAAATGAATTAATGGCCCATTGGCAATTATTCCTTTAGGAAAAATATTCAACACAGCTTAATTAATTAATACAATGAAAAAAAATCACAATCATGTCGTATATAGTTTTTTTTTTAAGCATAAAATAATTTTCATATTAATACTAGTTCAAAAGTCAAATTACGACCTCTATACTGTGGAAAGTATTGAAACGCTCGACTGACGAATACAACTCTATACCGTGGCGAGGGTTTAGAAAACTATTCAAACGTGGCGTCATCCAATACACTTCTATATTTTTCCGTTTGCTGTGTAACTAGGACGTTGATTCGGGTGTCATTGTAAAGAGCTTTAGAAGCACTACTAGGACTCAAAGTAAAAGAATAAAAATATTCGCCGAAATATATGTAAAAATCGGTATTAAATTGAAAATTGCAAAAAGATTAAATATGTCGTCTCATATGAGTCGTAAATATGCGCGGAATTATAGAAAAGCTGGCATAAAAAGGAATTTAATAAACCTAAAAGGTCCAGTGCCGAGCAAATGCGAGAGTTAAGGCAGCATCGAAATAAAAAATGAAAAACAGCGCAAGGCAATAACGTAGGTGGCCTATCGGACGTACTGCGGCCACCGACAGTCCAAACGTCCACGAATCATGTGCAGACATCGTTGGAAGGAAATACAAAAAACTGATAAGCAGGCCAATTCACTAACATAAGTTGTTAACGTTAGCCACTAGAATCAGTGGTTCCCTGCTTAAAATACCCCATAGAGACACTGCTCAAACCGATAGATATTTGTATCAGAATGTATGGTGTTTCTATAGGGTGTATCGGTATGTATAGGACCCATAGTTGGGATTTATGGTTGTTCTATAAGGATATCCACCCTTGATTTATTTGCTATTGGTTTCAATGGGGAAAATACACATAAATGTAGAAATTAGCTTTTGCCCCATAGGACCCCATAGGTTTTAATAAAATTTTGTCAAATGTTTTATGGTTGTTCTATAGGGATATCCCTATATATCCTTCATTGAGTTATTTGCTATCGGTCTCAATAGGGTAAACGTAAAAGTTATGGTGTGCCTATAGGTAATTTCCTATATATTTTCTATCGGGCCGTATCCAGAAAAAACCATGGACAAATGCACATATTGAATCCGGTAGCGCCCGATAGATTATTTTATATAGGTTTCTATGGGGTGTTTTAAGCAGGGTTATCATTATATTTAAACGGCCTGATTGGCCGAATTGCGCGATAACCACTGATTCTAGTGGTTAACGTTAACGACTCATGTTAGTGAATTGGCCTGATTATTGAGATCAATGGCAACGTGACGTTTTCAAGTAAATTTTTGTTTTGACATTTTGAGTAACATTGCTACTCACCACTTAAGTCGCCAAGACCGTTTTCTGATTAAACGATCCGTCTTTGCTACTTTAGTAAGTAGGAATCATAGATAATAAATAAGCAATCATGGTAGCAAGGCAGCAATATTTAACTCAAAATGTCAAAAATTAACCAAGTGTCTTAAATAAAAGAGACCTAATTAGAATATTTCTTGTATCGCTCTATAATGTAAAGTATTTTCTTTTTAAGATTGTTTTTTTTAGTAAAATATAATATAATATAAAAGTATATTCTAGTATTTTTTTAAACACATCCAAGCCCCGGCTAAAAGGTCAGGCTGGCTGCGGGCGTGGTACTTTTATAAAGGTTTAATAACAAAGCTCTTCCGCGCTTACACCGAAAATCATTCTAATTAAATATACTATTTTAGCACATCTACCACATAAAACGCATCACACGGAATCCACAGTACAATCTGATTTTACCAACAAAGAAGATTTATCTCAATGTTGGTCAAAAACCAGCGAAAATGAAACCGTCATGATTTGGAGCGAGAGCGAGGCGGCCGCAAAACAAATTTCCCAGATTGCGCCATCGTCTTGTGGCGCGACAGCAGTCCTTAATGTCCTGAGCGCACTAAGGCTTCCAATACCAACAGTTGATAAGATACAGGAGATGGTCAGCACTAGGTTTAGAGCCAACTCAGCTCCCCTTGCTGAGTATTTACTATCTAGGTATGCTTTAAGTTTTATTCAACGCATTTCGCCCACAGGCAGAAGTTAGCTTTAAGTTAAATTGGAAAAAAGTGAGGTTAAAATTAAATGACAGTTGTGAGATGTCAGATAAAGAATCAAATAAAATTGGCTTTAAATTCCTTGCGGTAGTTAAATAAAATATTGTGTGCGACCATTGGTCGAAAGGGGAGATTTCATCTCACGTTAGAGAAATAACCTCGTTCTCCCATGAGTCGCACAATATTTATTTTTCTTTATTTTAAGTTTTTAACATTAAAAAATGTATACATTTTAAATGCTTTAAAACAATTTAATAATGCATGATTAAAAATAAATTTCTTATTGACTAAAACTTCTATTACAGTTACTTTTAAAAAATTTCACTAAATACATTTTTTTAAATGTATTTTGTAGAGATTTTTTTTAATATGAAGCCAATAGAATCGAACACGAGCCTTCCTGGGTGATTGCCCGGTACCCTATTTACCAGACCATATACCGTATATATTTAAACATTATGTATGTATATGTATTTGGAACCCAACGCAATTTCATTGAGCAGATTCGAGTTTAAAACCAATCACAGTTCGAGTGCGAAATCTGTGTACGGAATGTAAATTGGTGCCAAACTTGCATACGGAATGTAACAGTACGTTTTTCCAAATTAGGTACCTACACTATGGCTGAGAAAAATATGCAAGAAAAGCAAAAATGTAAAATATGTTTATTGCAATAAGACAATATAATATATAATTTAGTGCCATGAATATTTTTTACATTTTGTGATAAATTATGCTTCTTAAATCTTTTTTTACCAGGTTCCCCACCCCCTTGACGGCCCGACTTTTTATTTTGTATTAATAATTACTCAATATTAAAATAATAAAAAGAAATTTAAATTTTAAACAAAAAACTCAACAACTGCTCGTTCTATATTTTATACTTAAATGACCCCCCTACATGTAGTCAAAGCGTGGTATACACATTTTTTGTTAAACCTCTAATAACCAAACATACTGCTCTAAAATATTTGTCCTGACAAGCTTTTTACAGACTAGGTTGTAATTGTTATTATGTACCAAGTCAGTAAAGTGTTTCTTTATCACACGAGTCTGAGATTATAACGAGGCTAGTAACAGACGAGTTTGATAAATATTCTTTACTGACGTGGTGCATACAAAATTTTATCGCCAACCTTAAAAAATTATAATTTATAAAAAATGGAGATATAACTAATCACATTTTATTATACTTGAAAAAGGACAACTGGAAACTGGACTTCATACCCTTTTAGGCAATCCCAAACATAATATTCCTAAAATTGAAAAGTCGGGAATGTACGAAATAAACTGTCAAGATTGTGACAAGAAATATGTTGGACGAACTAAACGATCCATCCAAGCTAGGTTCAAATAGCACTTGGACCATGCTAGATTTCGTAGGACAGAGAAATCGAGTCTTGCCCAACATATACTTGATGATGGTCATAGAATAGGATTTTACAACCTTTAACTTATTAAGGAAGTTAGTGAACCAAGTCTGCTAGATAGTTATAAAAGTTTATACCCAGATAGCAAAATGAATAAGATAACGCAACACATAAGTCCTCAATTGATGCTCAATTTGCCATCACGCGTGAACTTTTTATTTTTTGCACATGCGGTTTTAGAATATGGATTTAATTTTTCAAAATAATTTAATCTGTCGAAATATTTATTTAACATCTTAAAATACAGGTTCTACATTATAATTATAACCTTAAGGTTAACTAATTAATATTATATAATAGTTATAATTTAATAATAATTTATACATATAATAATAATTAATTTGTGTATTTTAAAACATTTAAAATAAAGATTGTGACTGAAAATGTCTTCATTTTTTCACATGGGTAAAGGAAGGGTGTTACATGCACATATGGGGCAAAACACGCCAAGTTTTCCCACTAAAAACTTAAGTTAACTTACCAAAAGACTCTCACAAAAGAAAAAGAAAAATTTCAAGCCCCTGTATATCTGCAACCCGTCAGTCTTTTCCGCTTCCCTTTTGCTTAATTAAATTAGTCCGATAGGACAATTATTTAGCAAAGTTTCATCAAAATCGAAAACAACTGTTTCTTTTTCTTTTGTGAGTGTCTTTTGGTTGATAAAAAAATATATAAATGACTTTTTTTTTAAATCGACCAATAATATATCCAATATCTTTTTTTTTTCGTGCTTTAAGATAGAGGTGGTTTCAAAAGCGAAAAAAAAATTTTTGGCTAAGAAAAATTGATAGGTATAAAAAATATTTTTACTTTTTTCTTAAAATGGGACCATTTTGATTTAAAATTAAAAATTAAAATAAGTACCTACTAAAAAAAGCCTATTCTTTTCCCTAAATTTATATATATATAAATATATACAGGGTGGTCCAGGATTAATCTGAAAAATTTTAATGATCGATAGAGCCTAAAAAAACAATAAAAACAAACCCAAAAACATTTTTTTAAAAATACACACTAACACACTAATAGCCCTTCAAAGGCAAAAAAAACGTTTTTTTTTAAATAACTTCTGCTCAAATTTTGTGTACCTAGGTAAAATTTCTTACAAAAGGCCCACCGGCGGATATTTTGTGGAAGTTTCCCCTATTTACCCCCATATTTCGACACCACTGGATTTTATTGGAAAATCATCAGATTTCTTATTCAATTTAGAAGCAAAACTTGTGTGTTAAATTTTCATAGGTTAATTGTTTTCGGAGACTTTAAAATTTCAAAAACACCGAGTACACGGAATTTTATCATATTTTATTTTGGTAACAATTATGTTTATAAAATATTATAAAAATAAACTAGCGTCCAGGAGTCATCGTGCAGTTGTTACTGATCCCGTCATATTTTTAGGTTGTTTTATTGTAACGTTGATTGAGGATTACAATCAACGTCTGTAATTAATAATTTAATTGTATTATAATACAAAATCAAACCAACCCAAAAACCACCCTATTGAAAGTGATTATTCCATAATTTCATTGGTAAATTTTTATTGGCCCAATACAATCGTTCAGAAAAAAAATAATTTTTTATTACTAAAATAATAACAAAAGTTCCGTGTACACAGTGTTTTTGAAATTTTAAACTGAAATATCTCCGTTGATCTGATAAAAAATAAACATAAAAGTTTTGCTTTTAGATTGAAAAAGGATAAAAATAAATCTGATGATTTTCTAATAAAATCCAGTGGCGTCGAAAATATGAGGGTAAAAAGGGGAAACCCCTCCCAAAATCTCCGCCACTGGGCCTTTTGTAGAAAATTTTCATTATATTATCGACGGAAGCTTAACCTACACAAAATTTGAGAAGAATCGGTTTAATGGTTTAAAAATTATTTTGAAGGACTATATCTCCGTTAGTATGCATTTTTGAAAAATGTTTTTGGGTTTGTTTTTATTGTTTTTTCAGGCTCTATCAATCATTAAAATTTTTCAGATTAATCCTGGACCACCCTGTATATATATATATATATATATATATATATATATATATATATATATATATATATATATAAATATATATATATATATATATTAGGGTGTGCCAAAAAAACTCGATATTTTTTTTTTCTTGCTCTCCACCCAAAATATCGTAGAATATGTCCAAACAAATATTCTGTTAAAAGCGGAGCTCATAATTTCAATTTTAAGAGGTCCCTCATCGAATCTGAAGTTTTGCCGCTTAAATAACACAGAAAACTGACTTTTTTACCTTATTTATTCTTGCAACCTAGGAAGAAATTTTTTTTTCATAAAATTCATGACTAATTCTTACAAAGCATTAAATTTGGACAAAAAAATCTTATTAAGCCGAATTTCTATTTTCATTATTTAATTTTTTACATAGCTTTAAATTTAAAGTTAATAATACAAAAATGATGACTTTATACGCCTGTAACTTTTAGAATATTGACGATATAAAAAATTCGTCTAAAACTTTTTTGTGGTCCATCAGACAAGCTAAAAAATTGCCATTTGACTTTTTCGTCTAACTTCAATAGTTTAGCTGAAAAAGGCAAAAAACGTAAAATTTTAAATTTAAAGCTCTGTAAAAAATCAAATAATGAAAATAGAAATTCGGCTTAATAAGATTTTTTCGTCCAAGTTTAATGCTTTGTAAGATTTGGTCATCGATTTTATGAAAAAAAAATTTCTTCCTAGGTTGCAAGAATAAATAAGGTAAAACAGTCAGTTTTCTGTGTTATTTAAGCGGCAAAACTTCAGATTCGATGAGGGACCTCTTAAAATTGAAATTATGAGCTCGGCTTTTAATAGAATATTTGTTCGGACATATTCTACGATATTTTGGGTGGAGAGCAAGAAAAAAACTATTTCGAGTTTTTTTGGCACACCCTAATATATATATATATATATATATATATATATAGGATTCAATTACGCGAATACGTATGTTATGGTATGGTATGTAGTAATTATTATAATTACAAATAGACAACAAATAATACACAAAAAATTAAGTTTTAAAGTAAGAAAATGATAAACTTTTAAGTTTTAAGACACCGAACTGTGTTAAACATTCTACAATAGAAATTTTTAAATTAAATAAAAATATTCAGAATTTTGAGAATATTCTCAATATATATTTAGATATAAAAAGTGCAGTTTTAATCATGCAATCCATGTATTTTAAAATAAAATCGATTAAATCACACGAGACTATAATATGAATTCATAATTGACTCACGTGTGAACTACGCTTCACGCTTTAAATCATATACGCATTATTCACTCACGCGTGAATTCGTATTCACGTTTGCTGGGTACATCTATAAGAATAGAAATAAATCTTTAAACTGCGATAATGGACCGGTACCCAACTCTTGTTTGTATAAATTAGTTTTTTAGTTTCTCTTTACGTGTTCACTGAAGCGATTACGGTCCACGCTTTAGTATACTGTGTCCGTTTACGGTTCAGTCAACCCTAGCTTATAATTAGTATAAATATGATAAATTTACCACATTACATTATTTGGTGCTACCGCTAGCCACCCCCTAGCCCTCCTTAAGGGCGAAACGGGGGGTAACTTTGGAAAGTCAAATGGGATGACCCGATTTTTTCACAGATTTTGGTAGTACATAAAAAAATGAATAACCTTTATTTGAAACTTTTTTTCAATTTATCAACAGATGGCGCTGTAATTCAAAATTTAAGAAAAATGGGTTTTCTTGTAAAATGTATAATTTGAAACGTTTGAAAAACAAAAATTAACATTAAATTAACAATAGTCGGCTCTGAAAACAATTTATAACAAATGTTCGAAATGTCTTCCTTCCATTTCGACACATTTTTGAATGCGGTTAATGAATTCTGGCACACAACGCGCCAACATGTCGGGCGGTATCGCCGCACATGCGTTCCAGATCCGATCCACCATGTCCTCTCGAGTTGTAGGAATTGCAGCGTAAACTTTTTCTTTCAAGTAACCCCACAGGAAGAAGTCTGGTGGCCTAAACTCAGGTGATCGAGCAGGCCAACTTACTGGACCACGTCTACCGATCCACCGGCCATTGAACTCCCGATCCAACACCTCTCGAGCAATTGCCAATTAATGCGCAGGACAACCATCATGCTGGTACCACATGTTTTGGAGCCGTGCTAGTGGTACATCCTCCAAAAGATCCTTTTCTAGAAAATTCCGGCGTTTTTATTAAACTTAATATTAATGAAAGTGTTATAATATGGATAATAGATGCTTTCAGTCCTTGATAACATTTAGGGCTGTAGTTTAAGCGTTGTCGAGTAAGACTTCTGCCTTCCTCTATTTTGTAAAAAAAAAACCTGATGCTTTAGCGTATTACGGAATATGAGTCTTATATGACCCTTCTAATATCACTTTTTCATGTGGAATTACATATCGTACCTTTATCTGCCTTGCATACGTAGGAAAAATACATTGTCAAATAACCCAGATAATACGCGGTTCACACTAAGCAAAGAACTTTTAAAAATGCTGTTGGACAAGTGTAATACAAAACAGCAATAAAGTCCCCCTAATTAAAGACCAAAGTTTTTGTGATATGCTGAGAAAAGTAAAAAGCAGTTAAATCAAATCTTTTCGGCGATCAATTTTGGGGACCTTTGAAGTGTTTTATACTTTAAATAAAAATCTTTTATAAACTTTTAATAGGGTTGTCAAGTGTAAATGCTGACACTTAACATTAAGCAAATTTTAAATGCTCATGATGAAAAAATATAGTAGGCAAGGGAAATATTTATTTTTATCATTTTAGAAACAGTTTCCGTCTATCGTTTTAGATCAAGTATAAGAAATTCTTTAATTTCTACATTATTTAAAATAAAGCATACAGTCTGTATGATACAGAGCATATTACATATTGAGTGAATGATGCGAGTGATTTAAAAACATGTTACCATGAAATTATATTTCTCTGTGAAAATTATGTGTGTGAAAATAATAAGTTTTAAGTTATTATTTTATTGAACTGAAAAAAATTTCGTCGGCTGTTTTTTTATTTGTACAAACATTTTTTTCTTTCAATTTAGGTCCAGGGCTGGCTGCAACCACCGAGACATCATCCAGGGCCTATACAGCGCCTCAAACGGTTCTGTTTACGCCCGATTTTTCTCAATGTATCCGCCTAGAGCAATAAATCTCTACAAATGGTTGGCCTATTGGATTAAACAAGGCGCCATTCCAATAGCAACGTTAAATTTGCAAAAATCCGAAAAAAATTCAGCGAAAGAAATAGCGGATAGTTGGCATCATCAAATGATATACGGGGTCGGTCCGAAAGGAATTTACGTCGCAAACCCAAGCGATTGCGTAGATGCCAAGGAAATGTGGCCGCAACTGACCTCAGAGTCTGTTTTATTAATTAGGAGAAGCAATGTTTTTCCCAAATTTGACTTTAAAACAAGTATGAAGGATCTAATGAAAATATCTGATGTTCGGTGGAAGGAAATTAATGTTGTTGGTAAGAAAAATAAATTTTAATACAAGATGTTTTAAAATTAGAGATATATTAGATCATACACGGTTGGTTTTAAACAAAAAAAAAGTTTTTGAAATAAGCCATTTCTACTTTTTGCATCTTTAAATTACTCATATCAAAGACTAACAAGAGACAAATTTTTAAAATATTTTAACGACCAGTTTTTTTTATTTGATAGTTTGTAAAATTTATGGTTTATTTTATTTTTTTAACAAAAACCAAGTAAACAAATTATTTATGAAAAATTTTAAAATTATTTATTTTTTAGAATAGGTTTTTCTGTTTAAAATGCATATTTAATTTTTTTCATAAGTTGTACACTAGCGTAGATATACATATATATATATATATATATATATATATATATATATATATATATATTACAAAAATACAACTTTGTTTTAAAATCACACACCTCCTTTAAAACTGATATTAAAAGTTTAATTATCTTGATATATTTAAAACTAATATAATTTTTTTATTATTAATTATTATTATTATTATATTATTATTATTATTAATTATTATTATTTTTTATTATTAATTATTAAATATAAACTGATGTTTTTAAGGTAACATTTTTTTCAAGAAATAACGGCCTTTTTATAAAGACAAATTTAACATTTTAAATTTAAATTTTACACGATTAATTTTATAATTATTTCACAACCGTATTAACTTGACAAAATTGTTTCTATTTATTTAATTGTATTAATATTTGGAAGTTTTATGAATATTTTATTTAATTTTAACACATTTATCAGGCCCATACTCAGAATTTTATTTAAGAGATAGTTTTACAGCAATAAAATTAAACCAGTATGTTTCGTTTTAGTATCTACACGTAAAACTATTCAGAGCTTCTTATGGCTTCTTTAAAAAAAAATCTTTTTAAAAAATATAGTTTTTACAAAAACCAATTTCGTGATTAAATTAAATATAATATTTAAAAAAAAACAATAGAAAAGGAGTACAAAATATTTTAATTTAAACACATGTGTACAATAAATTAATATCAGTATTATATAATACTGTAGCGAGTACCGCTCTGAATCTCGGATTGATGACTCATCGCCGGTGAGTCAGCGCTCGAGCGATCGAGAGCGGTCCGGAGCTCGCTGGAATATTCGGGAAGGCGCTTGTGTGACTGGTGTCACGTAGGCACTGAATATATAAGGAACAGCGCAGCATGGAGCAGTCAGTCAAGCTTTGGTACTCGCGACGAAATAAAATAAATATACGTGCATATAAATAGACTCTTGTACAGTAGTGATATATAAATAGTAAGTGTTAAGTGTTTAGTTAGTTTTATAGTTTCTTAGTGTTTTAAGTATAATTAGGTTATAAAATAAATCGTTTAGTTCGTTAATAAACCAGTACATGTTTTAATTCACACTGTCGAACCGTAAAAACGTTACAGTTGGTGTCAGAAGTGGGTTTAATATTTTTTGACGGGAGAGCTGCTTCGTTACCAGATAGAAGATACTTATGTGGCATATCTGCTCATTATCCACAATTTCAAGCACCTCTCCAACTTTGGGATTCTGCCTTCGTAGCTCGTCGACTCGTCCAAACTTGTTTTTAAAGACAACCGCTATTCCCCTGGACATCCTAAGGCCTTCTGTAACACAGTGAACCAAGGAGTAATCGGCCGAAACCTGGAACAGATCTTTTTGTTCTTCTCGAGTAACACCATACCGAGCTCTTTTACCGCTCGAATATAAATACATGAAGTCTTCAAAAGGCAGCTCGTCTTCCGGCGGGTTAACTCTCCTTACTCTAGCATGGACTATTTGATCATTGGTTCCAGCGTAACGAGCCAATCGGTTGAAAGGAATCACTTTCGGCTTTCCTCTTGGTTGTTTCCTGATCCTGTAGATGATGTCATTTATTTGATCCATGACTTCGTATGGTCCTTCCCAAGAAGTCTGCAGCTTCGGTGAATAACCACGACGGCGCTGAGGGTTGTATAACCAAACTAGGTCTTCAGGTTAAAATCCGCCATTCTCCGCCTCTTTCATTCTATCACTGGCACTCTGGATGTTTAAACGAACTCGGCTGTGAATGTCGCTCATTTTCCTACGTAAATTGCTGACATAATCTTCTCCAGCAATATGTTCCCCTGGTAGGCAACCAAACCTCAGGTCACAAGGTAGACGAAGTTCACGTCCCATAACAATGCTAGCGGATGTCTAGAAACAGATGAAGGAAGCGGTCCCAGCCTCATTGGTGATCAGAGACTACCTTCGACAGGTACCGGTTTATCGTTCGATTCATTCGTTCCACCATTCCATCAGACTGTGGATGTAATGCGGTTGTCCTCGTCTTCCCAATGTTAAAAATCTTACAGACATTCTGAAACAATATAGATTCAAAGTTCCTGGCTTGGTCTGAATGCATCTCCATTAGCACACCAAAACGACAAATCTACTCCTTAATAAGGGCATCGGCCACTGTGACAGCTTCCTGGTTTGGCAAAGCGTACGCTTCCGCCCACTTGCTGAAGTAATCCATTACAACGATTATGTATTTATTTCCAGATTCTGTTTCCGGAAATGGACCCGCCACGTCGATTGCGATTCTCTCAATTGAGCTGCCCACATTGTACTGTAGCATTGGAGCTTTTGGGCGCTTCTGGGGTCCATTGCTTGCCGCGCAAACGGCGCACTTTTTGCACCATTCTTTTAAATCTCGTTGGCAGTTGACCCAATAAAACCGTTCCCTAAGTCTTCCGAGCGTCCTCGTTACCCCAAGATGTCCTCTAGTAGTTCCATCATGGATTTCCTGCAGCACTTCTGTTATCCTGGTTCTAGGGATTCCCCCCCTTCTGGAGTCTCCAGAACGCGCTTGAAAAGTTCATCACGTTGGTTTGTGGTCGTTCTTCTTCCAGTCGATGATGGGCTTCAAATCTGGATCCCCTTCCTGGTCTTGTTGAACCTCATCGGACTGCCAATTATCATCCACATGTGTAGTCCTGCGTATAAACACATCCTTTTCTTCGGCCCTGAGACAATGTTTACAGTCTTCTTGACAAGGCGTCAGCATTTCTATGGATGGTCCCAGCCCGATGTTCTGTGTCTCTCAGCATTATCCTTTCATTGGGTTTCAAATCCTTTGAAGAAGACACGGTCTTCTTGATAAGGCGTCAGCATTTCTATGGATGGTCCCAGCCCGATGTTCTGTGTCTCTCAGCATTATCCTTTCATTGGGTTTCAAATCCTTTGAAGAAGACACGGTCTTCTTGATAAGGCGTCAGCATTTCTATGGATGGTCCCAGCTCGATGTTCTGTGTCAAAGTCGAACTCCTGTAGTCTCTCAATCCATCTTGCTACCTGACCTTCAGAATTCTTGAATTTTAGGGCAGCGTGATCCGTTCTCAGCAAGAATGTTCTTCCATACAGGTACTTGTAAAAGTGATTTTACCACTGCCAACAGCTCGCCTCGGGTAACACAGTAATTTCGTTCTGGTTTGGATAGAGTTTTACTGAAGTATCCAATAACTTTCTCTTTTCCTTCTTGAATCTTCGACAAAACAGCTCCCAGGCCCACATTGCTGGCGTCCGTTTCAAAAATAAATCCACCATCCTGGAGTGGATAACTCAGGACTGGTGAGCTGGTTAACGCGTTTTTCAGGTCCTCAAAGGCTTCTTGGCACTCGTCGTCCCATTGAAATCGTCTCTCTCCCTCCGTCAAACGTGTCAAAGGCTTAGCAACCTTTGCAAATCCTGGTACGTACCGAAGATAGTAGGTGCATAATCCAAGAAAGCTTCTTAAATCATGTTAATTCTTCGGTATTAATCATTCCCGCACCGTCTTCACCTTTTGTTTGTCCACTGCCACTCCTTGACTTGAAACGACATGGCTCAGATACTGCACTTCCCTCTGGAACAAGTGACATTTCTTCGGGCTAAGCTTCAGGCCGGAACTTCTTAAGCGCTGAAAAACTTCCTTCAGGTTCCTCATGTCCTCAGATGATTTTCCAACCACAATGATATCGTCAAGGTACACCAAGCATGTCTTCCACGATAGTCTCTTTAAAACTATTTCCATGAGCCTTTCAAAAGTTGCAGGGGCATTACATAGTCCAAACGGCATGACGGTAAACTGCCACAGTCCTGCACCCAGGTGTAATCGTCTTCTCTCTATCTTCTGGTGCCATGGCCCCAAATGCATTTCAACGCTCTTTAAATCTAAAGTCAAAAATATCTGTGATCCAGCCAATGTGTCCAGGGTCCCTGCTTAAAATACCCCATAGAGACCATGTTCAAATCGATAGATATTTGTATCGGGATGTATGGTGTTTCTATAGGGTGTATCGGTTTGTATAGGACCCATAGTTGAGATTTATGGTTGTTCTATAGGGATATCCACCATTGATTTATTTGCTATCGGTTTCAATGGGGAAAATACACATAAATGTAGAAATTAGGTAGAAATTAGTTTTTTCCCTATAGGACCCCATAGGTTTTAATAAAATTTTGTCAAATGTTTTATGGTTGCTCTATAGGGATATCCCTATATATCCTTTATCGAGTTATTTTCTATCGGTCTCAATAGGGAGAATGTAAAAGTTATGGTGTGTCTATAGGTAATTTCCTATACATTTTCTATCGGGCTGTATACGGAAAAAACCATGGACAAATGCACATATTGAATCCGGTAGCGCCCGATAGATTATTTTGTATAGGTCTCTATGGTGTATTTTAAGCAGGGGTGTTATAGATCCTAGGCAGAGGGTAGCTGTCCTTCTTCGTCACGTTGTTTAGCTGACGAAAATCGGCCCAAAATCGAGTGGATCCATCCTTTTTCTTAACTAACACCATTGGGGAAGACCATGGGCATGGGCATGGTTCGATCACCCCTTCCTTCTCCATTTCTTGCACAATTTTATCAGCTTCCTCTCGCTTGACAAGAGGTAGCCTTCTTGCCGACTGTCGAATGGGCTGTGCATCAACGGTGTTAATTTTATGCTGGACAGTTCTTGTCCTACCTTTCTTTCCTTGTCCGTCGTCAAAGACATCCTGATAATTGTAAATCAGCTCTCTCTGCATTATCCTTTCATTGAGTTTCAAATCCTTTAAAGAAGACACGGTCTTCTTGATAAGGCTTCAGCATGTCTATGGATGGTCCCAGCCCGATGTTCTGTGTCAAAGTCGAACTCCTCTAGTCTCTCAATCCATCTTGCTACCTGTCCTTCAGGATTCTTGAATTTTAGGGCAGCATGATCCGTTATCAGCAAGAATTTTCTTCCAATAAGTAGTTTTACGTTTTACTATTTTTATTGGGTTTTGATGATTTTCGTACAAAAGTTACTTATAGACTATATATCACAATTGAAACCTATATCTTTCGTACAAAAGTTACTTATAGACTATATATCACAATTGAAACCTATATCTAATTTATTATTTATTAATTATAGGATAATTATTTATTAATTATAGGATAACATTCAACAAATTAGCTTAAATTAAATAAGTAGTTTTACGTTTTACTATTTTTATTGGGTTTTGATGATTTTCGTACAAAAGTTACTTATAGACTATATATCACAATTGAAACCTATATCTAATTTATTATTTATTAATTATAGGATAATTATTTATTAATTATAGGATAACATTCAACAAATTAGCTTAAATTGCATTGTAACGTTAACATATATTGATTATTATCATTATCTCCTTTTAAAGGTCCAACTAAATCGAACGAAACCTTTTGAAATGCTGACATTGCAGTTGTGGTTATAGTCATAGGTTGTTTATTTGTTACAGAGTGTTTAAATTTTTGACAGTCGTTACAACGTTTAAAAAAATGTTCATTATTGATATTATCTTTTCGTAATCCTTGCCAAAAATAGTATCTCTTTACATTATTAAACATTTGATTTATTCCAGCAGTACACCCGTCGGTAACATGTGAAAATCATTTAGAATTAATTGTTTCGTCTCATAGTCGTTAATTTTTTGAACATCTTTTATAATACAAATTTTTACAGCTCAGCAAAATTAAATTTATCATAAATAGACTTGAGGTCTCAACGATGCACTTAATGCGGACGTTGACCGAGAATCATCTTTTAAGTAAACAATATTTTCATTCTTGTTAAAATATATATTTCCGGAATTTACCAGTTTGTTTAACATATTTTTACTAATGCTTTGCATTTCTACGTAATATTTAGGAGGCTTTAAAAGTTCCACAACCCCGGGTTGTAACTTGTGATTCCTCAGAATTATTCGCTTTTGTTTGCGCTCTTGTAATTAACCGATTTCAATCCATTGTTTTTCACTCATCATCTTTCACTACCTTTTACATAATTAACTGTAAAATCTTATTTTTCTAAAATTAGTCTAAATTTCGTTAATCTGCTAAATGGATTTGTCATACCAAACAGGTAGACTAAAGGTCTATGATCGGTGTATACTAAAAATTTCCTACCATACAAATATGGTCTTAATCGTTTAACTGCCCAGACAATCGCTAAGAATTCTTTCTCTATAGTACAGTCATTTTTGTCGGCTTGCATAAGAGACATGTTTTTTGTCGAAATTTGATAAAACTGTCCCTACTGCATACCCCGACGCATCAGTTCTTCATGTAAACAAGTTATCTTCTGAAAAATTCGGATATTAAAGAATTGGAGGACTTTGTTTGTTTAAATTTATCGAAACTTATTGGCATTCATGAGACAAGTTAAATGAAAATTTTCCTTTTTGCAAACTTTTTAATAAACTTTCTGTAATAATTCGCAAATGCAACGAATCTTTTAGTTTCATTCGCATCTTTCGGTTCTGGTGAAATGCCTTCCGAAGAAATAACGTGGCCCAAGTATTAAATTTTTTTTTTTAAATTGCATTTGCTAGGATTTAGTTTTAGGTTTACTTTCTCTCAAAAACCCTGGTTAAATTTTTATTGTGATTAATTAAATTATTTCCAAAAACAATTAAATCGTCAAGATAAATGAAACAATTTTCATAGTTTAATCCAGACATAGCAATTGTCATTGCTCTTGTAAATGCATTTGGATTTGTTTTAAGGCCCATAGGCGTTCTAGTCATTTGAAATTGACCTTTGTCTGTTGTAAAAGCTGTATAAGGCCTAGAGTTAACATCTGATTCTAACTGATAATAACCCTGATATAAATCTAAATGAGAAAAATATATTGCACCCG